AGGACAGGGGCCCCCAAGGGTTGAGGACAGGGGTTCCCAGAGGTTGAGGACAGGGGTTCCCAGGGGTTGAGAGGGGATCAAAGCCATGAGAAAGGATAGAAACATTGAGGAGGGACCAGAAAGTTGATAAAGGATCAGAATGTCGAGGAGGCACCAGGAGGGGGTAGAGGAGGGACCAGGAAGGGGTGAAGGAGGGAGGCCCCAAGGTTGATGTGTCAGGGACACCCCGAGGCCTCCCAGAGGTTGAGGACAGGGGTTCCCAGGGGTTGAGAGGGGATCAAAGCCATGAGAAAGGATAGAAACATTGAGGAGGGACCAGAAAGTTGATAAAGGATCAGAATGTCGAGGAGGCACCAGGAGGGGGTAGAGGAGGGACCAGGAAGGGGTGAAGGAGGGAGGCCCCAAGGTTGATGTGTCAGGGACACCCCGAGGCCAGTGAGGCCAGGTGGGTTCTGGTCTCCCTGGTTCCCCAGCCTGGCCTTGGAGCGTGGCTTCCCAGGATCACCAGGAATCCTGCTGCCTGGGGCTGCTCCCCGTGCTCTTGTCCCTGTGGAGCTGGGGAGGTGCTGAGGTGCTGGGGAGGTGCTGAGGTGCTGGTGGGGCCGTTGCAGGGACGTGCAGATCGGGGACATCGTGACCGTGGGCGAGTGTCGCCCCCTCAGCAAGACCGTGAGGTTCAACGTGCTGAAGGTCACCAAGGCAGCTGGGACCAAGAAGCAGTTCCAGAAGTTCTGAGGGATGGATGGAGGTGGCAGGAATAAAGGTCTTGTAAAAACACCCCCAGTGTCACCTGCAATGAGCGCCTGGGGACACGGGGTGGGCGAGGGGGACGTGCCTGGAGGGGAACCCGAGGGAATTCCTGGGCTGCTGGTTCCCAGGTTCCAGGTTTTCAGTCTGGAAATGAAGGTTTGGGTGAGGGAGATGGCCAGAGATTCCAGAATTGTGGGGTCTGGGGAGCAGGAAAGGAGACCTGTGCCATGGCACTGAGTCACTTCCCAGCTGGATCGGGGTGCCCACCTGACCCCCCCCAGAACTGCAGGTTGGAGCTGCTGGAATTGCTTTCCTGGGAATCAGATCCAGTCTCTTGGTGCCAGCACGGGCAGTGTGACCTCCAGTGCCCTGTCACCCTGGGGGGGCTGGGGCTGAGGGCAGTGGGCACAGAAAGCTGCTTTTCCTGCAGGTTTCTGAAGAGGTGGCAGTTCCTCCTGGCTCCAGCAGCCCTGGGAGGTGTTATGGGAATCTGGTTGTTCTGGAGGAGCCTGAGCCCGTGTTTGGGGGAATGGCCAAAATCTGGTTTAAAATCACATTCCATGTCTCCTCAGCCCAGGGCTGTTCCCAGGTGGTGGTTCCCATTGGATTAGTGCCAGGAAGGGTCTGCAGCAGCTCCCTCTTGCCCCTCAGCTCCCAGGAAACACATCGTGGTGGCTTCTGTGGTGGTTGTGCCTGTGCTGCCACATCCTGTGGTGGCAGGGATGTCCCCTCTCACCTGGGGGGAATCCAGCAGGATTTGGGAATGTTGGCACAGGCTGGAGATGCTCCCATGGCCAGTTGGTCCCTGGGGTGAGGGCAGGACCCGGAAGTGGGTGGGTTTGGGCCCAAAAGGCACAAACTGGTGCTTAAATAAAACTTCTGGGCTCTAGGTCAGTTTTCCCAGGAGCCCCATGGATGTGTCCAACTCCAGCATTTCCCTGTCTCCAGGCAGGAGGGGTGATGGAATCAGGGGATGGAAAAGGCCTTTAAGACCATCCACCATTCCAAAGCCACCACTGAACTCACCCCCAAGCCTCCCAGCAGCCTTCCCCTCCTCCCTGGGGCTCTTCTCCACCTCTGGAGCCAACATTCCCACCTGGAGGCACATTCCCACCAGGAATCCTGGGATCCCAGACCAGGGTTGGGCTGGAAGGGACCTCGAGGATCATTTGGTTCCTCCTGGTTCTCCCCTGGTGCCCCCCAGGGCTCCAGCAGCTCCATTAACTGCATCTTCTGCCCCCCCAGCACCAGGGACAGGGAAGGGCCTGGAACTCCCCATGGAGAAGCCATGGGCATTTTGCATGGAAGGGACCATTTCCCGGGAAAAACCTGACCATGAGCTCAGGAACAACATTCCCTTTCCTCTGGGAATTCACAGCTCCTGTGAAACCTCAATTTCCTCAACTCCCTTGTTAAGAACGTGCATTTCTGGTTCAACCTCCGTGTTCACTGGTTTATCCCATGGAACCATCCCGGAGCCTCAGCTCCCTCCTGGCAGGATTCCTGCCCCAGCCAGGCAGGATCCAGCTGGATTTCCTTCTGAGTCATTTTCTGCTGGCTGGGGGGTTGATCCCTGGGGGATCCGTGCTGGTGGGATCTGCCCATTCCCAGTCCCACTGCTGGGCTGGACCAGCCCTGGGGAATCCGTGCTGGTGGGATCTGCCCATTCCCAGCCTCAGGTTGTGCCGATTGTTTCTGCTCGATTCCTGCTCCGCAAACTGGGAGCGGATCTGGCACCACCAGCGGCTCATCCCTGAGCTGCATTAATTAATCAACTAACGAAGCCAAGCAGAGGGGAACAGGCAGAGCAGGGCCCTGTGTCCCGGGTGGCTCCGAAGGTGCCGGGACCGGGATCCTGCCCGACCAGAACCACCGGATCCAGCAGCGCCGCGGGTCCCTCCTGCGGGACACGGTTGGGGGGATGGACCCTGGGAGTGTCCAAGGGCAGGTTGGATGGGGCTGGAGCAGCCTGGGCTGCTGGGAGGTGTCCCTGCCCATGCAGGGGTGGGACTGGGTGGGCTCTGAGGTCCCTTCCCACCCAACCCATCCCATGACTCTACAAACGCTTCCCCCACAGCCTGGAGATGCCCCAGTTTTCCTGCTGGTCCCTTTTTCCTGTCCTGTCTTCTTCCAGCCCCGTGTCCTCTGGGCCCAGCATGGAACAGCCACAACCCCGGCCCCATGGTGGCTCCAGCCTGGACCTGTGTCCTCAGGAGGGGACACATGTCACCATCTCTGGGCTGAGGGACAAGCCTGAACCTTCCTGAGGCCCCCGCCCAGAACTTCCTCAGTCCCACAAACAAACAAAAAAATACACACACACAAAAAACCCCCCACACACACAAAAAAAAAACCAACACCAAAGAAAGTGTCCTCTCCCCAGAGCTCATGCCTGAGATGGTCCCGGGAGCATTCCCAGATCCATCCCTTGTCCACACAGGGAAAACTTGGATCCCCAAAACCAATTTGCCGGCAGGTCCCTGGGGGAATCAAGGTTGGATCTGGGGAACAATATCTCCCTGGCAAGGGTTGTCAAGTCCCTGTGCCACATTCCTGGAGGCAGCAGGACAGGAGGGTCAGGTGAGGTCAGGGAGGGACGTCCCCCCTCAAGCCAAGAGCCCTTGTGGGGATACCAAGACCCTGCCCCCCTCCCAGTCCCCTCAGGGACAGTGTCCCCGGTGACACCAGGGCTGTGACTGTCACTGGTGGGACAGAGACTCCCTCCCCCAGCCCGGGATACATGGGGAGGGTCCCCCAGCTCTGTGGTGTCACCAGGCAGGGCACAGGACCCCTCCTGGCCTGGGGACAACCCCGAGGACAGGGGGGTGACAACTGGGACCACTGGCAGGGACACCAGCCCCAAGAGTCACCCTGCTCCTGAACAC